AAGTGTGAGGTGACTGTGGTTTAGTGAGAGGAGCAGATGACTGCCAATCAACCTCTGCCACSACATTTTGTCTTGCATTCTGTATGCTTCTCACCTAAAATGCATATTGTGGAATTATGAAAGTGTTTTTTTTTTAAGAAACAAAAATCCCATTGTTCTTGAAACTAAGAAAATAAAAGGAATTGTGAGRTTAATTGTAATTGTGAATCTATTGACATTTAAGACTCACAGTGMTAATCAAAGCAGGTTTTAGATGAATGGGTTGAACATTTTTGTTTGGTTTCGCTCAAACTCCAAAACGACTAAATGCACCTCTGCTTTGAGTTTTGTATTGACACTGACTTCATGTTTCWAGAGTCTCATACTGCTATTGATAGAGCTTTGTGGGCTGAATAAAGCAGCTTTCCTCTTGAGCCAGTGAAGGTCAACATCAAGAAATTTGGACAGCCTATACAAAAACAGCAGTTGTTGTACAGCAAGGATAGATGAATCTAACATGAAGCCGGATGCGTTTCAGGATTGCACCTCCAGCTTAATACCACCAGCATGCGAAAACATCAATATTTATAGAGGGGTCTGATGATACTGTTTGTCATGGCCATCAGGCCCCAGAATGATTCCCAATTCCTCCATGCTTTTTAACAGATTGAGGTGACAACGAGAGTGCAGACAGGTGGCAGCAGGCCAGGTGATGACCCTGCACTGAWGAATGTGACGATGAGAGCTCGCTGTGGCTGCCAGCATCATAGCAGACAAAGTCAAAGCTTCACCACCACCAGTCAGAATTACAGCATCAGCTGACAGGCTTGAGATGACATTTACTTTGAACAAAGATATGCTCAACTGAGTGTGATGCTGACATTAAAAAGTTCATCACACACACATGTTGCAATTCTTAAGATGTCACATTAAGGTCACAATAATTTCCCCCTCTCTTTTGTTTCATTAATAAAGCATGGATTAACTGTTTAAATATAAACCACAGAATCTTCAATTCATCAAAAATATAGTTGAAATGATGAAAGCAGTAGAGATTTTTAATTCCCTCTTCAGTCATTCAAAACAGCTCTTTTAAAAGTATTCCCAAAGTGGACTTCAATAAAGTGCGAGAACATAAAGAGATTTCTTTTCTTCATTGGTGAAACTCTATTGCAATTTACCTTGTGTTTTTTTCACCTTATTCATTTTTTCCCCTACAACAAAGCTTAATTTGCATTCAGACAAACAGATTTTACAAAACAAAGCAGACATCAACATGAAATTGTTGTTTGTAACAATGGGAAACGTAGAGTAAAAAAACATTTAATAGATTTCCTTAAATCATTTTATACCTTCTTTTATTTCTTTTGTTAAACTGTTTTCTTTCTTTCTGAACCTTTATGAAAAGGTATTACATTTGCTATATAT